CCCTCTTCGATAGTCGTAAAAATCCCGAACTCGCATACCGAGACACCATAACCTCAAATTTCGCTGCATTTATGATTTCGAGGCAATCGAAACTGCCGTAAATCGATCAACGAACCGACAATTAGGCGGTACCGATGTCAGTGAACGAACGAACAAACATCCTCAACGTGGTCTTCCACCCTTCCATCTCTCTCTTCCTCTCTTTTTCTCGATTCACCGTCCCCGAAGCGACGAAAGAGCGCGCGCGACGAACACTTTCGAGGATTCGTTTTTTCTATAGGCGTAATTTTGCGCAACTTGATCTAGTTTTCTAGATCGATAGAAAATCATCGAAATGGACCCTAAAGTTTCAACAGCAACGACCATTTCGTGTGATCGGCCCGAGGCGTGATCAAATCGCGAACCTAACCTCTTGCAACGATGAAGGCAGGAGAGAAAAAGAAAAGAAGAAGAAGAAGAAAAAGAAACTGAGCCTTGCACCAGCGCAGAGAAACAAACTACGACGAAATCGAGTAACCAGAAACGATAAGTATCGTTCGTTCCGTGAATTCGCAGTCTTTTTGCGGGACCAGCGACACCTGTTTTCGCTTTTCTTGCTCCTCGATTGGACTTCCTGTTTTTTGGCTAAGTGTATATAATTTTATAATTTCTTTTTCATTCGCTCTTATGAAGCGGTTTGTCAATTGCGGATTTGGTAGTGAATTGGAGGTAACGAAATGGAGATAATTAGAGTTGTGTGAATATTAAATAATGGTTTTTTAATCGAGAAGTAATACAAGGTATAGACGGATTTTCATAGTGATTTAAATTTTGAAATAACAATTTCCAAACGTATTTATTTATTGTTTTTTATTTTTAATAAAAAACAAATTACAAAGTGAAAATTTAAAATCTTATTCATTCCAATTCACTTGACTCATCTTCATTCTTTAAATTAATTCTAATGTCCCGATTTAAATCTTTAAATCTCTAAACAAATTTATCCCATCCAGGATGATAAATATCCAATCAAATGTCGCGCGTGCATACGAATTATCATCATTCCCCGTTCAAATTTTCCAATTCTCCATACCGATCCAACAAAACCAACTCCACGAGCCTTGTTATATTTTTCGTTTTTGGTTATTAGCGCGTTTTCAATCATCGCCATTGCCTCACCTTGCGCGGCGATGGAATTTTAATTACATTGTAGTAAAGAGCAAGATTGATGCCACTGCGTATATTAGATGAAATACAAAAATAATGTTGTGTAATAAATGCACAGTGATAATAAGCATGTGAAAGACAGTGAGAGTTTGATCGTACAATATGATGATCATTATCGCCGACATTCCTCGGATACAAATTAATGGAGACACTTTGACGATTATACACGTTCCTCGATAATAGATTATCGATAATACAAATGATCGAGCTTATTACGTTGAATTTGTAACAATAATTATAAATAAAATTCGATTCAATTGAAATATTGTTATAAATAAATTGTTCGATTGCATTCTGTAGGTTTTTTCATCGTTTTGTCAGCATATGATCGTTGCATTTATGGAAAAAAAATTTGTATTTTCATTAATTCAATGGTCAATATTTCGTAATGTAATTACATCTCATTAATGTAATTTTTGTTTAAATGAATCGTAAATATTGAATTTTATTTAATAACATTGTGTTTCCATTATGATTTTGTAATTGTCAATGGGTATTTATATTTTAACAAGATAATATTCGTTGATAAATTATATTTTTTCAAATCATGGAAATTTCTTTCTGTTTTATGTATATCTTTATGATATTGATTGCACATGTAAATTATTTTGTTTGATTTTTGTTTTTTTTTTTCAATTACATTACACAACAATTATGTAACATTTCATTAGTTAGTATATAATGAGTTGAGGATTTTAATTATAATTTCACATTTCCAAGATGAGTAAAAAATTTGAGTGATGGACAAGGATCCTTGAATTATTCTCTGGCATTTCACTGGACGAGGTTTTTATATCTGATGCAATCTCGCAAAACTTTTAATAATAAAGTGTTCAGGAAGTCGAAGAATGCTATGAAGAATCTTATAATACACGTCCTATTAGAGTTTTCTATTTATCGATTACGTTATATGGTGAACATTTATGAAAACAATCGTAAAATATTTCACTGGAATAATAACATAATAATATTCATCAAGTTAATATTAATTATTTCACACGTATATATAGGAATATGATTAGCAGTAAATCGCCTATATTTTAATTTATCATTATTTAATAATGATTACATATTTTTTTAAAAAAAATGTTCTCATACTATCTTCCATACGACTATAAATTTCATTTCAATATCATAATTATAATTTTCTTTTATTTTCTATTATCTATTATCCAAAAGTATTAATAGATAATACTTCGATTCTTCGAAATTAAAAATGTGGAAACTTTGGACAAATTTCAAGTTTAAATTTCAGAATCAACTCTTCTCCAAAACTCTTCGCCTTCATCTTTCGTCTAACTTATCATTACCAAGGAAACCGTAGCACATTAATCAAAATGATACATCGTGTTTCGTACAGACAAAAAATGAAAAAAAGTGTTGCCAATTCCGGACAGGATTAATCGTTACAAATATTCGTGAGGATTAATGATAGTAACGATTCATTTTTAATGATAATTTTTATCAGAAAAGAAAGCAGACAGAGAAAGTATATCTAAATCGATGTTCGGTTATCGATTTATTTCAGAATCAACCAATTGTTGTGCTATGAAGTAAGTGCTTACCCGCGTGCGTGACCATAGATAAAGATCTACTTTCGCCATCTATAGTAACGGGATAAAATTGACCGTGGTAATTTTGAACGAAAGTGAATCGATGAAACGAAGAGTTTTCGAATTTCTTCCCTATATTTTTAAACCCATAGAATCCTATAATTTAAATCTTCTTTTAAACTTTACAAAATTTATACAACGCTCAAATAACCTATAAATTTTCATCTCACGATTACTTAACTATAAATCACATATTCGTAACTATATTCGAATAAACAATTATTAAAAATAATTTACCCCCAATTAAATTTTCCATAAAAATATTCGCAATTCGATTTGAAAAGTAATAAAACAATCGCAATTTATAAATTAAAAACCTGAATTTTCGACGATCCATATCACAATTTTCTAAATTATAAATCGCTTCAATTTCGATTAATTAAATATTCATAATTCGAAGGTAATCCATAATTCGAAGATGCAGGCTTTTTCCATCGGATCTGTCGGATCTGATGTATCGCGTATGCGATTCCAGGCCTCGGTTTCGCAACGTGGATCGACCGTCCTCGGACATCCGGGTGGCGAACGGGTCTCGATCAATTGTTATACACTGTGGCTGGCATTTAGCCGTGCGCGACTCGCGTCTACACTGTTGCCGCATTAATTTGGTACGGTGCGTTGCGGTAGGATAGCTCACGGAAAAGAAATTGCGCAACCCTATGCTGTTTATGCCTCGTACCACGAGCGCTGCGCCTGTACAGGCTGATCTTAGCTTAACTAGGTTGCGAATATCTGTTTCCAAGTTTGGATTTATCTTTCATTTTTTCTTTGAAATGACAAACAAAAAGAACGAATATAATAATTCAAAGTGGAATAAGAAACTTTGAGAAATGAATAAATTCTGAAGGAATAAAAAGTGAGGTTATTTTGATGGAGAGAGATATTTTAATATTATTCCATGAAAGAAATTTTATATTTAATTTAATTTAATTCCAATGGGAAATTTTCTGACAATAGGAATATCGTTCTATTGTTCATAGAAAAATATTTTCTTATTATTATATATTTTCTTAAAATCAACGTACATACCTATTCGTGGATCATTAACGACCTTAAAATTCGTATATTACATTATTCAATTGCTTTAAATCAACTAGGAATAATACGAATACTTCATTTATAAAACACAGATTGAGGTTATGTTTTCACTTTCATAGATCGTAGGCGGTAAACGATCATAGAAATCGCGATTGCAATAAGAAAGATGTGCCTCTTTCAAAAAGATACATAACAATCCAATTCTTAAATCTTTAAAAAAAAAATTATCACTTCTTCACTACTCATTCTTCATTACTTCTTCATTACAATTATCACTTCTAAATTACTCTATAAAAATTAAATTACATAAATTAACTCAACCTCTCCTTATGTACACAGTGTCCATGCAACAAAGCCTCCGATCTCCACATTCTTCCCTTCTCTGCCATTCTGTCTACCTCTCCATCTCTCCATCCTCGTTCTATCTCTACCCGGCCGGTTCGCTTTCTCCTTCTCCATCTCGATCCCTCTGTCTCCTGTGTTATACGTGGCGGCTGATCGGTGTACCAACGGCTAGCTGGATTTATACACGGCCACGGTGCGTTCCCACGCCTAGCACACGCGAGAGAGATCTGGCTCTTCGGCCTAATGCCCGCATGGTACCGATCCTAAGAAAACTGGTGGAAAATCTGGGACACGGCGTCGCGGTATGCGCCATTGTCCCGCGATTCTATAGGTTTCGATATCTTGGTTAGGTTAAGCCAGTTCCATTGGTCGCCCTCTGGAGTTTTTTGCAACCTTGCTCGGCGATCGAGCTACTTGGTTTTGTTTCCCTTTCCGTTTACATTTGCGGATGTTTATGCAAATTTCTTAGAATCTTGTTTTCTAGAATGCTTCGTAGAACTCTCGGTATTTCTCTCAATTTTTCTTTTTTTTTTTTTTGTCTATTATATTTGTTTGCAACCGTGACACAAATTTTTATAATGTAACATTTTGGATGAATCTGATGAAGATTGCATTTCGTTGAAGACAGTTGAGATTAAAATATTTATAATTCTGTTAAAAATTTTTATTTTATTGGTAGAAAAAAATAACATTAGAAAATTTTTTAACATTAGAAAATCTTTCGTTTAAGAAGGATAAAATATCAGAATGTTAAAAATTTTAGAACAGTTACTTACCAAAAATGCAATTTTTTTTCAGGTCGAAGCCCGAACTCAAGGATGCCGTGGGTGAGGAGACAAATTATCCACCACCACTGAAACCCACCCCTTGATCGCCTTAAAACGAATACTGCCAGCCGCGCAAGACCATCGATATCGAAAGGAAGCGTCGCAACCGATCACCAGGACGAAGCACCAAACCTACCCCATGGATCTAACCGAGGCATTCGCCCCGGGAGGGGGTGGAGAGGAGCTGCCAAAGACCGATTTCTTCGACTTCGTCGTCTCTCCACCTCCCCACTGCGCCTCCGCAGATGGCGTGTCGGACGAAGAAAGCTTCCTCCATCGCACCACCTGCAGGAGCATCGGCTACCTTCAACAAGGTCACGAGGAGCACGAGACCAGTCGGGAACTCCACGGCTCCCCATTCATCAAAGAGACCAACAACAACACACTGACAGCTTTACCACCTGTCTCGACTATCACCGGCTCCCTCAGCCACCATCATCATCACCACCACGTAAGGACGCATCACAGCGCTTGCAACGTTCAACAGAGCAACGAACAGACACCGATGGACCAATCCGACTGCGACTATTGGGGCAC